CTGAAAACTCAGTGACAGGCTCACAGCCCGGGGCTTCCTGTTATTTTTCTAATTACTTCGCCTTCAGAGAAATGATTTCACTCTGTTTTAATTTTTAAAACTTCCATCTGCATCTAATTAACGACCTGAGGCAGCCATTTTATAAACTACATGTTTGCACCGTACGACCAACCTCTGGTTCATGCATGTGAACGGGCCGGCTTTTTTTTTTTTTTTACCTGAGAGCCCGACAGCATTCGCACGCTCTTCAGCCTCAGGATCATTAGGCCGTAGCAGACGGTGATGATGAGGACGGGCATGATGAAGGCGAAGATGAAGACGCAGATCTTCAGGAGGGTGTCCCAGTACCAGGAGGGGTGGGGGAAAACCAGTTTACAGTCCACAGTGGTGGCAGCTGTAGACGAGGGAGAGGAGGAGGGACCAGAAAAAAACTGTTTTAGAAAAGGGATAAAAGTGCAGGACAATCACAAACAATGACAAGCTAGCTTTAGCTAACAGACACCAGCGCTAATGTTAGCTACAACAGTCCTGGTACTGACACCAGCGCTAATGTTAGCTACAACAGTCCTGGTACTGACACCAGCGCTATGTTAGCTACAAACAGTCCTCATAGTGACACCAGCGCTAACGTTAGCTACAACAGTCCTCATAGTGACACCAGCGCTAACGTTAGCTACAACAGTCCTCATAGTGACACCAGCGCTAACGTTAGCTACAACAGTCCGACATGTCTTTATTATTGATCTTTCCAGTAGCTGCTTCAGAGATGCGACATGTCTTTACTATTGATCTTCCCAGTAGCTGCTTCAGACACTTCCTGTATTTCCTGCTCTGTCATTCACGATGTCTTTACTATTGATCTTTCCAGTAGCTGCTTCAGACACTTCCTGTATTTCCTGCTCTGTCATTCAGCCCGTGTTCGTCCCGCTGTGGTAAAGTTTACAGACTCAAGGACAAGTGACTCAGTTTGACTGAAGTTTTCAAACCATTACATCGTTTCCTGTCTCCTTCTCTTCGCTGCAGCTGTCACCAGCCAGAATATACCATTCAACACGTCGGCCTATTTGTATGCAATTACACAGAAGTTCTCTCCAGGGCGCTGTTTTCTTTATGGACGCTGCTGGAGAAGATGATTGTTCTCCAAAAACATAATACAACCGACCGACCTAATCTGCCTCCCTGTTGTTTCCTCTGAATTCATTTCTCTGCTCTGTTGTTTAACTCCTTGTCGACCAGGTAATGACCCAGAGAAAAACACTTTTCCAGCTGCAGCTTGGTTTAATAACAGCTGAGTCAGTGTCGGACGTCAACATTTCATTTGCACCGTCATACGTATGTGGGCCGTCCCTGGGCCCTGGGCCACATGTTAAACCTCAGCTGGTTTGTCCTGCTTACACGTGTGAGCGGTGGAGGCCATGAACATGACGGGCAGACCGATGGCCGACGACAGGATCCAGTTGCAGACGTTGATGATCTTGGCGTTGCGCGGCGTCCTGAAGTCCAGCGCCTTCACGGGGTGACACACGGCCACGTAGCGGTCGATGCTCATGGTGGTGAGGGTGAAGATGGACGTGAACATGTTGTAGTAGTCGATGGACATCACCATCTTGCACAGGACGTCTCCGAAGGGCCAGGTCCCCATCAGGTAGTTGACGCTCTGGAACGGCAGAGTGCTGGTGACCATGGTGTCGGCCAGCGCCAGGTTGAAGATGTAGATGTTGGTGGCCGTCTTCATCTTAGTGTATCTGCGGGGAGAAGGAGACGGAGATTCATGAAGAAACATGAGGATGGAGGAGGAGGAGGAGGAGGAGTTGAGATGAAGAGACTGGTGAGAGTCCTTTGATGGAGGAAACTCTCCTCTGATTCCAATCATCCAGTCACAGGGCGATTCTCAACCACTTGCAGCGGAACATGTGCTCAAATGAAATGGAATGGATTGAAACCCACTTCCTCTGCTGCTCAACACATAATGGGATTTGGATTCTGCTGCTGCTGCGGCTCCAAACATCAGATCATTTTTACGAGTTCAGAATTTGTTCCTTTTGCTACAAAATGATGCCGTTACAGAGCCGTAATATTCCATATACAGAATATCATTTCTCAGACTATGAAAAGTGTTGAATCAAAAAAGAGAAAAGAGTGAATTTATTTCTTATCGTTTCCCTGATTTGTTGAACCAATCAGAGCACAGAGTGCCGCGGGAGCTCCGGGCCAATCTTCTCGGAATGAGTTGGTAATAACTCAGGTCCCTCGTGTCGACTGTTAGCACATTTGCTAATGACAAACGTCCTGGTTAAGGAGCTGTAATGCCTCCTCAGTGCCAGGAGGTGCCACAGGGACACCAAACACGGCCTCGCCCCCCCGGCCCCCCGCCCCCGTTCCACAAATCTGCAGATCTTATAAAATAAAAAATGGTTTTGTACTGAGGAGAGATGAAGGAGAGCTCATATTCACACTAACTTTTTTTCTGGGGACCCATATTTTAAAAGTCACAAACATTCGCGACTGAAGTCAATATTCGGAAACTCCCAGAAAACATGATGCGAGACGACCCAAAAATAAATCCCTTGCGACCCACCTGAGTGTCGCGACCCAGTCTTTGGGAAACAATGGTCTAGTAAGACCAAAACTTTTACAAACAGAAAGTTAGATTACTGACCACTAGGGCTGTTACGATGCATCGTGGATAAGTTAAAAATTGACGCCAATGTTTGACAATTCCCATCGGTTCAAATGAAGTAGGCTGCGTTATCTCTGAAAGTCACTGGTCATACCATGGCACTACATGCTCTAGTGCAGTAGGTGGCAGTATTCACCTAAAAACATCAGTTGTGGCGCACTATTAAACCAAGACGTCAGGTCTTGATCAAACTTTTTTGTGAACAAGAAACCGTGCATTGTTTCGTATGGAGTGGAGTGTACGGTTACATCTCTTCTAACCACTGCTCCACTGCGCAGCCCCTGAAGGTTAGACGTCACGGCTGAACAGGCACTTGTTTTTCAAAGGCTGGTGAAATAAACAGAATCCCTGCCTGAACACCAACGTCTTTTTATAGGTACGCGTCGACGTCAGGAGGTAGAATGTATTCACGGGAGACGGCGGCGGCGGCGGCGGTGGCGGCGGCGGCGCTCTGATTGTCTCACAGAAGACTCCCTTTGATTGAACAAGGGTGAGGAGCAGGGCAGAACACAGAGCAGCCTGGCAGGTTCTGAAGTGTTCACAGAAGGATCTGGAGAGCGAGGACCTTCAGCCATTAGCACAGGAGGCAGAGAAACAGACAAACCTCCGGTGTTTTCCTCCAGTGTCAGAGAGAAGTAAACAGTGTCTGAAGATAAATCACGTTTAAAGAAAAACAACAGAAGATGAATCTGTGATGTCATCCCATAAAGAGACGTACCAGAAACGGCTCCACTCTCATCTGGGCCTCGCCTCGGAACCAGACGCCAACCTGGCACTGGTGTTAGTGCAGTTTTGATCGGGTTTGAGTTTGTGTGAATCACAGCTCCTGATAATGATGCAGGTGAGAAGCTGAGGCCAGAGTCAGAGTTGACGACAGAAAAGTCGTTATTTCTCCGCAGTGTCTCCACTGCAGACCGTGCCGTTTTACCACAGATATTGTTTGCTGCAGTACGGCTAACTTTGAGCTCCAGATTTGACCTCTTTTAAAGCCAACTTTTAGATTTTCGGTTTTATATTTAAATTATTTTTAGCTCACTCTTATCCATTTTTATCACTGTTTTCTGGTGGCCTATAGGTGGAAGAGTGGATAGTGTTGTTGCCTAACTTCCAAAATGGCATGAGTTCAAGTCCGACTGCTGGTCTCTCTGTATCAGAACTGTCCATGGTGCTGTTTCTGCACAAAAAGAAGAATGTTTTTTTTTGAAGATTTTTTTTGTTCACTTTAAGAAATTTCTTCATTCGTGTTTTTCGTCTTCCACTTTCAGACGATATATATATATTTTTTTTTCTCTTTTTATTTTTCTTGGTGAAAACCGCAGCATTTTTTAATGTAGACGTTGAAGCTGCATCAATGTCGAGCTCTTAGCTCCCGTCAGGCTCATGTTTGGCGTGACCTTGTACTGCAGTTGTTTTGCACCAACTTGTTCCAAATTGTTCTAAATGGCCCAGAGTTCAAGTATCAGAGGAAGTGAATTGTTTTTCTGTGTCTGTGTCTGTGTTTGTTTGATGTGACATGGTCTGCAGCAGCGGCTCAGAGTGATGACACGTCAGAGTCAGACGTGAATTATTCAAACATCCATTTGATGTTTGCTTTCCTCCTGACCGTGTCTTATGGCGTTTGTTTGTGTTGGTCTTGTTTTCAGCCTGGGAGAGCTGATGCTGCAGCGAAAATAAACAAGATAAATATTTTCCCCCAAGAAATTACTGCCAAAAGTGCTTGGTGTGCATTGTTGCCTCTCAGTTTGGGCCAGGCTGAAACGAAGAGAGGAAACAGAGGTGATTATAAGTGCAGCGACAGAGTCAGCCATAAATTTAAAAAAGTGACACATTGACGACCGAACATTCTGTTCTGAAGTCAAATCCCGATCCCTGAAAAAAAAATCAAATCTGAGATAAAGGATGTCATTTGTTAACGTGATTGGAGTCGGAGTCAGGTGACTGGATCAGACAGGTTGTTCTGCCTGGTCATTGAACCGTGGCTGCGTGAAGAAAAACGTCTTGTTTGAGTTAAGGCCACAAAGACAAAAAGTCGATACTCGATTAAACATCTATGTTTTTTTCTGTGATAATAATCCGAGGTTTTCCTCTAAAGTATTACAGCTGATTCGATTCATTTTGTTTCCAAAAAAAAAAAAAAAAAAAGAAAATGAAGTGCATGGATACGAGCGTCGTTGTCCTGTGTTACATCAGGTCGGCCCTGAGAGCGCCCCCCTCTGTTCTTTATATGGACCCACAAAGTGACAGTGATGCATTACTCCCGGAGGTATTGACTTTATTAACCCTCCCTCCCCCCCGACTCCCCCC